CAGGCTGGGGTGCTTGTGCAGGGCTGATGCAGAGGGCAGAAGGGCGCACAGCTCTCTGGGGGTCTCCCATTGAAGCACAGGCCTTCCCCGACATGCCTTTACCAGGAGCACTATCAGAAGTTTGGCATAAGGTGATAGGCCTGCTGGTACTTCATCTGAACGTGGGCTCTCCCTGGGCCTGCCTTCAAACCCTGCTGATGACAAGGTGGGGGTGAAAAAAGCATGTCTATAAAAGTTGATACAAAGAGCCTGGAGAAATTGCTGGAAGGACTTTTACCAAGGGACATGGCGGATTCTCCATCACAGCAGTCTTTACATCAAGATTGGACGTTTTCCTAGAAATATAGCCAAACTTGCCCACAGGACATGGGCGAGGAGGTTGGACTAGATGATCATAATGGTCCCTTCTGGCTTTACAATCTATGAAACTATGGGGGGAAGAGATCTGTCCTGCCATGGCAGCATCCCAGCCCTCACCCACTCTCACACGAAATGGGTTATATGCAGAGCTGGGTCTGAGCTCTGTTCTGGAGCCTGGCCCATTCTAGAGTGAGGAGCCAGGCATACATTTCAGATTCAGATCGAAGTTGGGCTGGCTGCTTGGAACTGAGATTTTGGTTTGGTCTCATTTTTATTTATTTGTATTATCTCTGAACCCTAGTCATGTACCTGGCCCCCACTGCTCTAGGGGCTGTCCAAACACAGAACAAAAAGATGGTATCTGCTCCAAGGGAATGGATTTCTGTTGCTAGGGTCTCGTCCAGTTGACTGTCCGCTATTTGGCGGCTGCTGTGTAGAATTCCCACAATTTTCATAATTGTGGGAATTGTAAGTGCATTGTTAGTTAAGGGCGGAGGGTTCCTTTAAGGCCTGTAATTCTGGGTCAGCCCCTGGAACTCATTGCCAGGGGATGTTGTGAAGGCCAAAAGTATAACTGGATTCAAATAAGAATTAGATACGTTCATGGAGGATTGATGGCTCTTAGCCAAGATGGTCAGGGACACAACTTCATGCTCCATGTGTCCCTAAACCTCCAACTTGCTAGAAGCTGGGTCTGGACAGCAGGGGATGGATCACTCGAAATCGCCCTGTTCTGTTCATTCCCTCTGGCACTGGCCACTGTCAGAGACAGGATACTGGGCTAGATGGGCCATGGGCCGTTCTTGCAAAAGACAAGAATCACATGTAGCAGCTGACTCTTGATTGGGAGATTCAGGGAGGAGAGATCTCTGGGGAGAGGATCCTTGAGTCTCCCTGGCTGCAGCTAGAGCTCATATTGCTCTGAATAATTGTCTGGGAATGACACCCGGGGGCCTCTTGTCCTGCTATGAGCTTTAGTTTATTTCACTGTGTTTGCAAGGGTGGGAACTCGGGAAACATTTCGATGATGTGTTCCCAGGACTTCCCCACCCCAGTAATGAACAGATGGGTCTTTGCCCCCAGGGATCTGGCCTGCTGCCCTCCAGCTAAGGGATCACACCTTCACCAGCCCTGTAGAAAGCAAAGCAGACAGTGTCCGCTTTTGACTTGATGTTTTTGCTGCTTGCTCCAGAACTGAAAAGTGGAAAAACTGCCACTTGGCTGTGCAATCAGTGCCCTTTTGCCCCGGTGAAAATGAACACTTGCTCGCAGGCTGAGGGCACTTTGCTCTTCTACAGATCAAAATGGGACAGTAACAACCTCCCCTCGCCCTGCCCTGAATTCTCACGAGGGCACCTAGCTGAGCGCTATCACAGCTGGCAATGCTTGTCTGAGATGCTGCGATCGAAGGAGAGAGCGAGAGCAAGAACCCAGAGACCTCTTTTGCAGGCAAGGAATGGAAAAAAATCCATGAAGGGAAGTGCAGAGGGAAAGAGGAACGTAGGAGAAAAAGGGCCAGTTTATTAAACACCAGGCGAATCCAAACAGGTGAAGTCACCCCAGCCTCAAGCCAGACGAGTGTAAATTAGCTCGGCGTGGCTGTGACTTCCAGGACGTCTCCAAGATAAACAGCCCTCACCCTCGCCCTGAAAAGCTCTTATGGAAACTTCTAGTCCAACACTCCTGCCTCTGTCTGCAGCAGCGAGTGGGCTGTGCGATTGGCTTCTCTTTAGAGTTACAGCCCAAGTTGTCGGTTACAATGACTTTTTCTACCAAACGTTGCGGCGGGCAGTTGGACAGCTCGAATGCTGGGGATGCTGGTGAGCTGTTCTCCAGGGCGAGGCGCTGCCCGTCACTTCCCATGCACAGGACTATGGGGAGGTGATGTCTGCACGCTTTTGCACTGCTCAGCCATTGCATAGCAGAGGAATGGGCGATGGGATCCGGGGGTCTGATTCAGCTAGGATCAAAGCCCTGTATACTCTTAACTACACAGTGTAAAAGACAGTCCCCACGCCCCTGGAAGGGAGCACAACCGATAGGCTTGATCCCATGCCTGTTGAAGTCAATGGTAAAGCTCCGTTGGTGCATGGCAGAGCTACAGCCCAGCTTGTCACACACTAACTCTCTGTCTAGACAAGCCCTGACTCAGTTGCCTAGGTCCCACCGGCAGGAGCTGACCCCAGATGTTCCCCGGCTCAGTCCAGTGCCTTAACCACACGACCATCCTTCCTTGCTGATACTTGGCACTAATCCTCACCTTGATTGAGACTAAGGGTTATATGGGCCTCTCCCCATCTCTGACCCCAGACACAGGTTACCCAGATCCAGGGCGAGGGACGGACAGATGTGAACAGGCAGATTTCACTCTCCAGAGATGTCAAGCTAGCGCCGGTCAGCAGCACTAGGTTTGCTGTCCTGTGCACCAAACTCCATTGCAGCGTCCTTCGGTACATCCCAGAATGGACAAGTCCAGGCCTCAGCAATTGTCCCCCTCTGGAGAATTATCACAGTCAATGAGCAGACTGTCCATCTGCAGCATTTTCTGTTCTAAGCAAAGTCCTGGTGAAAGCCAAAGGCAGTGAGCAGGGGTGGCTAGAGTCTTCATGCATCAAGACTTCTCCTGCCAGTCAGGAAGTAGCAGAGCATTACTAAGGAAAATGTTTGGAGGTTCCAGTTGTGTCAGGGGCTGCACATTCCTCAACTGAGTCCATCATCACCCAGTCCTGGTCCAAACTAGCTGACCCAGAGGGTGCATACAGCACATCTGGCTGCCATGCCCACAAGCTGTGGCAAGCCACAGAGAGTGAGTGATGTCGTGGGCTACAGAAGAGCAGGCCTGTGAGGCTGAGGGGGGGTGGTGGCTGAGACCAGCTGAGGCTGACGGGGCAGGGCTGAGTGGAGCGAAGGGATCGAGTTTCCAGGACGTGATAGTAACGAATCTGTCCCAGTGGGGTTTACATGGTGGGTAGGCCTGGAAAGCAGATGTTCCCCTAGCTGCCAGTGTCTGCGCTGTAGAGGACCACACAGTCCTGTCGAGACCTGGCCCTTGGGCAGTCCCAGTGGCTCCCTGAGCTTGATGGGTGCTGCTCAGCTGATGGGTTTGTTTTTAAAGCCTGGATGAAAGTTAAACCCACCGGCCACCCCAGTCATGAATAAGTGACACGGCGGATACCTAACCTGGCTCCTCCGGGAGGCAGACTGCAAACACTAAGCAGCAACCCAGCGAAATCTTTCACCTGCCGAGACTTGGGGTGCTGCTTTCTTCCGTCTCTGGAAACCGTTGTAACTGAGAGCAGGCTCCCCCACAGACTCAACCCTGAAAGCTCCCCCCAGCCCATGGGAAGGTGCCAGGGAAATGGGCTTCTGGCTGGAAGAGGCCACGTGGTAGCTGGCTTTATGAAGGGGCTGGGTAAGACCATTGCTAGTTTTACGCTCTGGGATAAGGGTGATTGGGTCTCCTGCTTTCATGTTTCAGCTGACCCCTCAGCAGGGGTCAGGAAGGAAATGTGCCTCTTATGTTCAGCTCTGCACGAATAGCCAGGTGCATTATGGGTTGGAGGCACTGGTTTCCCAGGAAGCACTGGGGCAGGTCCAAATGGACTTTTCTGATATGGCAAATGCTGCCTTTCTCCCCTGAATATCTGCTCTGAACGGGGCCCACCATACAGGGTCGTTTCTGCAAGGCCAGCTGGGCGGAGATGCCAAGGCTAGGATGGGAGCATCCTCGGATGCAGCCAGACACAGCCCCACTGCCCAGCTTACATTATATAGCCTCTCTTGGGACGGTCCCAGACAGGTCTCAGATTTGCACCTTCCTTAGCTCAGTGCATGAAATGACCAGAGACACTGGCTGGGCCTTCTCGGGGGCCCATGTCTTCAAAGGGGGAAGATGATGCCCTCCCTCGTACTCTGCATCAAGCCCAACCCGGTGCTTGGCAGGTCCCCCAGGTGCACACACACATTGAGAGACACCACAGTCCCACTCACTGGAGGGGCAGAGAGGCCCTAGCCTGAAACACAGGCGGGAATTTCTAGGCTGTCGACTGGAGATGCTGGGAGGAGAGGGATGCTGCCCCCCCGCCCAAGCTACACCCAATAATGGGGCCCTGGGTCTGTTGGTAAGGCAGTTTGCTCTGGAGTCTGTGATAATCTGATGCTTCAAGCACAGCTACGGCTTTGGTGCAGGGAGAGGGCCCTGACCTGCACAGCTCTGGGCAGCACCCCAGTCCCTGACCATCAGACCCCAGATCCGCCCTTGGGGACTCGTCCGTCGTTTCAATTCAGATTTCCACGAACGTGAGACACCAGGCCAAGGGAATGCGACAGGTGACTCCGTAAAGAGGCGCCTGCATAATAGATCAAGGAAAAGTGATTAAGGAAGAGAAGGAATATGAATAATTCAGGACTAATCAGGGACTATCCAGAGTAACCTGAGACCCAACTGGACTGCATTTAGGCGGATGGGAGATTGAAAGAGGAGACAGACACGTCCTGCTCCCGCACCACAGAGATTCTACAGGGCTTCGCACTCACCCGGAGGTGGGAAAAGTGGCAGCGGGACTTGGGTGCAGAGTGAGATGCGCCAGTGTGGGGGCAGCTAAGGGCCGATTGTCTCTCTCTCAGAGTGACATGGAGACATGGATTATGGACCAGCCAGGAACTCACCATTTAGAAACCTGCTGAAAATATTTTGCCTTCTCCCAACAGTGGCTTACGGTGAGTACCGTGCTCTGGCCCAGATCCCTGGGCAATGGCTCCCATGCAGAGAGAATGGGCTCGGTACATTGCTAAGGGCCCAATTGCCCAGTGCCCTGCACCTGTGCGACGCCAACACGAACGGCCCCATGCTAAGCCGGCAGCACTTTGCTCTGGTGCACGTGATGACACAAGGCGCGGTGAACCTGGTGCGACAAATCCATGGGAGGAAGCAAAGGGTTCATTCCAAATAACCAGCGCGCCCAGCCCCAGCCCCCAGTAGTTAGAGGTTTGGGGCTTTTGTGCAGAAGCAGGAGGGTTTATAACCCTCCCCAAAGCTCTTGAGAGTCGCTGTGATATTGATGGGTTACTAATATTCGCACTGATAACTCAGGACCGTCCTGTGACTGGTATGAACGCCCAGCCCTGTCTGGATCCCTATCGATCGCTTGCGACCCGAGCCGTGCTAATCCTGCCAGGTCCTTGAGCAGCTCCCTCAGATTATCCAGACGTGGGGCACTGTGCTGGAAACCTCCTCCTGGCTCAGCAGCGCCTCTCCCGGGAGCAAAGGCCTACGCAGCACAGATTTCAGCAGGCTCCGTTTCTCTGCTGCCGCCCACCCCTCCTCTCGGGGGACGCGTCGCTCTCGGTTAAATGGATTCCTCTCTGTCCTTGGCTGGAGGGGCTGCCAACCCCCTGGAACAGATTCCCTTTGAAAGGCTGAGCTCGGGGGAGTCCCTAGGGGACAGGACCCCACATCGCAGAGCCACCCCCATGCTTGGCCGAACGGGCCGGGCAGCATGAGCTCCCCTCTCACCCTGGCAGGATGCAGCTTGTGGGTGGGGAATGACACTGCCCCTGTGCTGTGCATCCTACAGGGCCAGCCCCGAATGCCCTCCAAGTGTAAACATGGGGGGAGGGATAGCTCAGTGGTTTGAGCATTGGCCTGCTAAGCTCTGGGCTGTGAGTTCAATCCTTGAGGGGGCCATTTAGGCATCTGGGGCAAAAATTGGGGATTGGTCCTGCTTTGAGCAGGGGGTTGGACTAGATGACCTCCTGAGGTCCCTTCCAACCCTGAGATTCTATGGATCACTGACTGCACTGTGTCAAATAGGCTCTTTCTGGGACACCAGTAGCCCCAATTCCCTTTGTGGATTTGGTTCTTCCTCTTCCCTAGCTGTGTGTTTCCAGGCTCTCGCCTGTTAAGAGAACACAAAACAAGAGTTACAGGCAACGTTTTAAATTCTATCCCTTGGGAAAACCTGCTGATGCTGGGGGCAGCTACCTAGAGCTCCAGGGGACACTGTTCTCTTACGCTGTCTTCAGTGCCTATTACCAGCACCTCCCAACCGTCCCCGTATCCATCCCCACAACGCAGACAGTGCTGTATCCCCATTGAGCAAAGGGGAAGTGATGCACCCAGAGCCTGTGCCGGAGTAGGGAACTGATCCCCGCTCTCCTGAGTCACAGGCTGCCGCTCTAACCCCTGGTCCATCCTTCCTCTCTCGTTCACCCCAGCTCAGCTACTCCACCCGGGCGATGCGAAGTACGAGGAGCAGGCCGTGCGGGGGGTGCGGCACCAGTCCGTGCAGCTGGCTTGTGGCGACGTGGTCTCGCCCATGGTGGTTTTTTGGAGCTTCACCAAGCTGGGCTCGCTGGTGCCCAGGGCCGTTGCCATCAGCAACGGGATAGAGTCCAAGGTGGAGAAGGCTTCTGCGGCCCTGGGGCAGGTGAGCCTGCAGAACGGCACCCTGGAAGTGAGCGACCTGCAGACGGCTGCCCAAGGGCGCTTCATGTGCCAGGCAATGTTCGAGGAGGACGGCGAGATCAAAGTGGGCTACTTCTACATAGAGCTGGTCGTGCTAGGTAGGTAGCGTGGAGGCTGCGTCACCTCTGGGACTCTCTGAACAAGTATACAGAGGCACCAGTCAGGGTCCCCCAACCCGAAGCCACAGTCCTACTGTGCTCCTTTCTTTAGTGCCCTGTTACAACCCTCGCAGACCCACCCCACTGAGGTGGGGCGCAACCGAAGCAGGCAAACTGAGGCAGAGGGAGGGGAAGCGGGTCGCACCCAGGGTGGCAGGGTGGGACTAGAATCCAGGGGCCCCGACACCCAACCATCTCATCCAATCACTGCACACGCACCCCCACTCGTCTGTGCCTCGTATCCCTGCAGGTGAAGCTGCCCTTTGCTGCCTGCAAAGATGATGGGAGACGGAAGAGACCCATTTGGTCCCAGCTGTTCCACCCTCCCAAGATGTCCCCTGCAATATGTTCTCCGCCGCCTAACCCAGCCTGTCCTTATTATATTGCGGTAGTGCCTAGGATCAGACATTGCTGTGCTAGGTGCTGTACAAACACCGAACAAACAGGCAGTCCTTGCCCCAAAGGGCTGAGTTCTCAATGCCTCCAAAAATAGGACTTCCTCTGCTTCCTTCTGGAGGCTCCTCTCCTGACCCTGTGCTACAAGGCCTTGTGTAGCATGGCCAACATTCCCCTCGGTCAGGAGCAACCTGAAGAGAGCCCTTTGGTACGGGGTTGTGTGATGGGAGTGAGTGAGACGGCAGGGCTGCCTGCCCAGCCTTACTGACCTTAACCACAACAGCACAATCTGTGGGCACAATGGCATTCTCAGCTCTGGGCCCTGGCGTTCTGCGTGCCCGGATCTCACCTGGCTAGAGACTGCCAGGGAGAGAGGGATATCCCCAGGCACCCTGCTGAGCAGAATGGTGTCCTACGCGGCCACGCTGCGGTCACATTCTGCATCATCACGCAAGCCGGTGCAAAGCAAAGCAGATGTTCTGCTCAGCAACCTAAACAGGCACACTTAGACCTCTTGAAATCCAGCTGGAGCTGCAGCATTGTGGCCAAATCCCAGTATTCCTGCCTGGGGGGTTACTGTCAGGGATTTTCTGCCGGACCCGTGAAGGGTGTATATCCCACCTTTCCTGGGACACCAGCGGTTCTCAGCTCCTCCCCGCGCAGTGTGTCTGTTCACATGCACTCTGCTGGCTGGGGTTGGATAGACTCCACTGGCAAATACTTCTTGGTTGCTGGGAGATTATCTTCCTGAAGAATGTCGCTCAATGCCGGGCAGCCACTTCCCGCTGGTATGTCCATGAACTTCAGAGCACAGGGGCTCGCTGCCGATGGAAGAGCTGTCATCTGTCCAGGGCTCAAAGCCCTTTGGCTTTCTCTTCAGTATTAGCTGCAAACTGTGACTCTCATAAAGGCAGAACATTTCATAGATTCATTCAGAGTTTGAGGCCAGAAGGGACTGATTAGATCCCCTAGTTGGACCTCCTGTATATCAAAGGCCAAAGAATTCCAGTCCCATCAGGTGTTTATTCCAGCTCACATCAAAGCCGTGTGAGCCAGGTGCTGTTAGCATCCGTACCATGATCACTGGAGATATAAAAAGGGAGAGATTTGGGGAGAAAACAATCATGGTGACAAGGCAGAGCTGGGAAAATGACTCGCTAGTAATTCATTGACTGACGGATGGGACACGTTTGCGAACAATTCATTGTCTGCTCCATAGAGGGGATTATTTACTCATCAGTTGGTGGGAAAACTCTCTGAATAAACTTCCTGGGAATAGCAACCTGTTCTAGGAATTCTAACACCTGGCATTTGTCTGATGCCTGCCCTGGGAGTACCCTAGAGCACTCAGTGAAGCGAGCTTGCCCTGGTAAGGAGGGTGAGGATAACTATTCTCATTTACAGATGGGGAAACTGAGGCAGGGGATGGTTAGAGCCAATTTTTTTCAATATTAGCCTCTGATTTGGGGTGCTTCAGTTATTTATTGCTGTGGTGGCACCAAAGAGCCCTGCTCATGACCCAGGGCCCCTGGTGCTAGGCGCTGTACAAACACAGAACAGAAAGACAGTCCCCACCCCGAAGAGCTTACCGTCTAAGTCTAAGACAAGAATTAGGTGGCTACAGACAGATGGATGGGGAGAGAAAGGAGCCAGTATTGGCTAGCATGACCGGCCGTGGTCTCAGCTGGTTGTCAAGTTCTTACAGGCAGAGGAGAGCCCCCGCAGCTCCTACCACTCCCTTTGGGATGGTGGGTGCTGAGCAGCGCTGAGAATCAGGCCATGGGTGTGTCGAGTTGGGCACCAAAAATCAGAGGCCACACACGGATCTGTCAGCTGAAGCGGCACATTTTAATGGTGGGGGCGGGGTGCTCCCTCCCCCCGGGTCCCCTCTGATCTGAACCGTGCAGAGGTTTTCAATCTGCCCTGGGCACAGAATCAATCAAGTGCATCATCAAAGAGTGCCCCCAGCAGCCAAGAACAGAGGCACATGTGCAGCTGCTGCCGAGGCAGCCGTGCCAAGTGACAGAGGCGGGCTCCAGCCAGACAGTCACTCGCCGTGACATAGCAAGTGCTCTCGCTCGAATGGTTCCCAGCCTGCAGCGCCGACGGCTCTGGGGTGGACACTGCTCCTCTGGGCTGCTCTGTAAAACCAAGGGGCTGAGAGTCCACTGGCCAGGCACAAACCAGCCTTGGCATCACAAACCCAAAGAGGTCAAAAGTCATGAGTCAGGTGCCCCCCAAATTCATGAAAGTGGCTTTAAAATCATGAGATTTATAAAAAAATATGCTGTTTTGGTGCTTTTGGGGGAAATTTTTGGCTGCCTTGGGTCACAGCCACTTACTGTTTTTCATGCCAGCTGAGAAGCTCGTGTCATCACCTGACTCCAGGAGCTGGGGCTTTAAGAAAAACACCAAATATCATCAGGTTTATAATAAAATCATGAGAGATGGCATCACAGCAGCCAGCCACTGGATTCCTGTGGTACCTGGCAGGGCCACCTGAGTTAGTCACCAACAGACCCACCTAGGGCAGGCATGTCCCCAGCACAGATACACGTGTGCACTGTGGGGACAGGCCGCTGCCCCTGGAGTGAGTGGAGAATTCTGATCAGGGAGCCTTTTGTACCCACTTCGCTCTTGCTCGGCACCACTGTAAATGGCTCCACCAAGTGCGAAGCAGTGGAGAATCCGGGCCCTGGAGGGGCCTAGACTAACACCCGGATCCAGACATCCCTATTGACAGGAGAGTTACTGCTGGTCCTGGGGCCACTACTGGCGGGCACCGGATGTTTGTTAGAAGAAGAACTCAGGGCATTTATCTCCAAAGCCAGCTCTCCGCTCCCCTGACCCAGAGCTCTCATTGACGTCAGTGGGCATTGGCTCTCCCCCATGGTGCACCAGTCAGTCAGCGGAGTGCTCTGGTACTGGCGCTGCGCAGAGCCCGGCAGCCAGGTCACGGGGCTTGGCTGGACCCTGTACAGTTCTCTCCCTGGGGCGAGGGGTCAGAGTGAGATCCCGAGAGGACACCATGGGTGGTACAGAGCTCCGCGTCTTGGCAGGGCAGGATGAGAGGGGATCGCTCTCCCCACGCCCCTGCTGCCCCCTCAGGCTGGGGAAGGAAGCCGTGGTCTGATCCAGGAAATGCCTTCCCTGTGTACTCCCCCATCCCCAGCATGCCTGCTCAGGTCCCAGTTCCCTGCTAGCTTCATCTCAGTGGAGGGCAGCCAGCTGGCTCTGGGGCTGGGAGCTGGCTGCCCCTCTCCTGGCTCTGTGATGAACCATCTGGGCAGCTCCCCCATAGACTCTGGGCTCCAGCAGGCTGCAGAGGGTGAGTGCTGCAGCTGGCCTGCACCCCAGCTCATCAGCACCAGGGCCTGGACACTCGCTGCCCTCCAGTTCAATCCTTCAAAAACAGTGGGCGGCTGGGAAGCCTTAATCTTCTTCCCTCTCCCCACCACCTGTCCAACCTCCCACTGCCTCCTTCCCCCAGCCACTCATGGCTCCCTGGCCCCTCTGACCTCCTCCCTGCCCCGTCCCGCCTCAGCTGTCTCTGTACCCCCCAGAGCCTTTCTCTGAAGGACTGTCCAGCCCCCTCCTGCTGCCCCACCTTCCTCTGAGCTGCCGTCTGTGCTGAATGATCATCTGAGACCACGCTGCATTGGGAGCAGCTTCCATCGTGGGGGGCTGACCGATCCCGCCTCTTTACGGCTCCCTAGAACCTTCCCTCTGTCTCTAGCAATTCGTTAGCGTGGGTCTGAAGGGCACAGCAGAAAAATCACACGCCTGGGAGTGTAATGGACGAGATTCTAATAGCAAGGGCTGGCTTGGAAAAGAACCGAGCAGGTCATAATGGAAGGGATTAGTATGAAAGGATTGGCTTGGCTGAGATGGGACGGGAGCCAGCTGGATGGAGAGCATGGAGGGGGGTGTGGTGATGAGGGATGGAACGGGGCGGTTTGGAATGGATTGGATGGGGAACGGGGCAGAGCTCATCGGGTGAGCTCACATCCGAGCTGTGTGTTTGGTCTCCCCTAGTTCCCGTTCCGAAGCCCTTCCTGCAGATGACCGACCCCACGCCAGTGGAAGGCACGGTGGTGACGATGACGTGTGCGGTGAAGGAGGGGACGCCTCCCATCGGGTACTCCTGGCACCGCCACACCAACAGGGAGGGTGCGGTGGCTGTCGCGGAAGCTGCCGGTGGGCTGCTGAACCTGACAGCGGCTAACCGGACTGACATGGGCTGGTACGCCTGCACCGCCCACAACGAGGTCAACAGCCAGACCAGCGACAGGATGTATCTCGACGTCATTTGTAGGTGACCTGCAGGCAGGAGCAAACGTCCTGCCCCTCTGCTTTGCTGTCACACGCCCCCCTCCAGGCCTGATCCTGCCAGCTGCTGAGTGCCCATAACCCCTACCAAGGCCGGTGGGAACTGGGGTTCTCAGCACCTCCCAGCACTAGGCCCCTAAAGAGCGTCTCCAGAGAACATAACCAGGGCTTCCAGACTCTTTTCCCCCCGGCCCAGAATCCTTGTGCTGCTTCCCAGGCACCCCTGGGCACGTGGCCCAAGCAGCAGCCCAGCTGCCCCGGTGTCTGACAAGGAATGAGGATTTGGAATGGGAATAAGATTATGATCCCCCCAGAAAACAACTGCTGGCAACCACTTTGGGGGTCATAACCCCATCCCTGCCCCCAGCATTGGGGGTCAGAGCGGACCCCCCTGCCATTCCTGGGCTACAGAGCCCCACGTCCTATTCCTGGACCAAAAAGATTCAGATAAACGATCCAGCTGCCGGACGGTCATCTGAACAGAGCCCCTCCCCTTCCTGCCATCAGCCAGGTGCTAACCACCTCCTGCTTCATTCTGCAGATGGCCCTGATGAACCCGTGATCAACGTTGAGCCGTTTGCTATTAACCAGAACGGCTTCTCAGCTAACGAGCAGGAGGAGGTGATCCTGACCTGCCTGGCCCCTTCCAACCCGCCCAGCCACTACATCTGGTTTTACAACAGCTCCCAGATCTACTCCGGCCAGAAGTATGTGATAGCCAAGATCTCCCGGACTCAGACGGGCACCTACACCTGCCTGGCCCAAAACACACATCTCAATACGCGCACTCAGACCACCATCATCCTCACCGTCTACTGTAAGTGCGTCCCTCCCCGTGGCTGGGCACGCGGCCATCTGGGCATGCGCTCTCTCTGGCATGTGCAGCGGCATCCCCCTTCTGGTCCCATCTTCTCTGTCCTCTGCATTTCCCTCCCTTACTTCCCTTCTTTGATTCTCATGGTCACCCGTTAGTTAAAGAGGTACCAGGACGCTAGGGAAGAGCTCCTTGAGAGTGGGCAGGTCAAGTCTCATGAGAAGAACAGAGAGGTTTCTACCTCTGTTGGTCCTGCTTGATCCAGACCAAGCAGGGACCCAACCTTTGTGAGAGCAGAATAGCCCCTTCCACAGGACCAGTATCACTCAGGGCTTAGCACCTCGGGACGGAAGGGGGGCAGTGTTGTGAGATGGATGGCGTGTGTAGCCTAAGGCAGCTGTTGTGTTCTTTCCGGTCGGGCTCCTCCAGCTGGGCCGTGGGGGAGCAGAGACGGGGTGTGTAAGCGATCCAGAGGCAGGTCGTCTGGCAGATGGTCGCGAAGAGAGAGTGTTTGCTCACAGCCGTGGCGAGCACAGCAGTAAACACCTGTGCGGATGGTTCCACTTGGTTTGGATCTACAGCTTAGGCTGCTGTGCTGCGGTGCCCGAGGGCCCGGAGAGTGAGCCGCTGGGAGAGGCACTGGGCCACGTGATGACGGCGACCGGGGAGCGGAAATGCGTAAGAGAGCTGAATTCCCTGCTGAGGCCTCTGAACCGGTAGCTTTGTTCCTCGCAACATCCACCTGCTCCCCCTTCATTTAGACCAGGTGTCAAGCCCTCCAAACCCTTTCCAAGCAGAGCCAGCCATTCGAGGGGCCAGATTTCTGGGCGAGGCCACTGGACACGTTCCAAGATATTGATGTGGGGGATGCTGGCAGCTAGGGAGGCTGGGATGGAGGAACTGTCATGGGGGGCTGGAGAGGATCTTGGCAGGTGGGTTGGGGGCTTGTCACAAGGAGAGCAGGGGGATTTGGGCAGATCAGCGAGTTGGAAGGACTGGTCATGGGGACAGGGTGGATTCCGGCAGCTGGAAAGCGTCACTCAAGGGGGACGCTTGCCATGAGGGTGCTGGAGGGTTGCGGCAGCTGGGGGAGGGGTTGACTCTAGTCAACAACAGGCACTGAAACTGTGACACTTGCAAAGCTGGCACCCGCCTGAAGAATCGGCGCCAGCTCACGCTGTGTCCAAATGTCTCTGGCTCCGCACAGCGGGGGAGACATCTTGCGGACTATCACCGGCGCGCCGGAGTGTCTCAGAGCCGCCGGGTCGCTGTCCCATCCCCGGCACGCCAGAGCGTCTCAGAGCCGCTGGGTCACTGTCCCGTCCCAGGGGCGCCAGAGCGTCTCAGAGCCGCTGGGTCGCTGTCCCATCCCAGGGGCGCCAGAGCGTCTCAGAGCCGCTGGGTCGCTGTCCCGACCCAGGGGCACTGGAGTGTCTCAGAGCCACTGGTCGCTGTCCTGTCCCTGGCGCACTGGAGCATCTCAGAGCCGCTGGGTCGCTGTCCCGTCCCCGGCTTGCTGGTTTCTGCCCTCTGCAAACTCCAAAGGTCCTGGGTGTCACTGGGTTGAGGCCACAGCTACCCCACCTAGGGTACAAACCACCATTCCGGTGAGGGGGCAGCCTTTACGGAAGAGGGGCCACATGCCTGCCCTGCCCCTCCCTCACACTGGCCCTGTCTCAGGCGCCTTGCTGGGGAGCAGTCTCGTGGTACCAGACGGACAGCAACGTGCCAAAGGGAACTCGACCTCTGTCTCCATCGGCTGCTCTTGCTCCTCACGTTCGCACCTTAGTACTGACGGTGGCCAGGGCCCGCCCAGCACGTCTTGGGCTTAGCGATCCAAACCCACGTCGCCGGTCGCCGAGTACCCTGTGCTCTCCCTGCTCCTCTCCATTGCTCCTACGGCGCTTCGCCAGGGAGCCGGCCCCATTGGGAAGAGCCCACAGAGCCACACAGACAGAGCTGCCCCATGGTCCCTGACTCCCTGGCCCCAGTGCAGCTCCTGTGCATGGCAGCCCCAGGCAACAGGCCTTGTGTTCTTCCCAGTGTTGCTAACTCCTCTTGCTGTTGATACAATCTTTGCCCCACGCACAGATCTGCCCGAGGGGAAGCCCAGCTGCACACCAGTCCCTGCTGCCAATTTCCGGGACATTGCTCTGCAGTGTTCGTGGCCAGGCGGGTTCCCCCCAGCGCGGCTGCGGTGGGTGAGAGCCGGCCGGGAAGCAGACGCTGCAGCGTCCTACTCCAATGCTACCAGAATCCACCGAGGGGTGGATGTCCGGAACGGCAGCTCGTACACCTGCCTGGCCTCCCACCCAGCACTCAGAGAGGATGCTGTCTGCACCACCACTGTGTGTAAGTACCCTCGCCCTGCCCGCTCAGTGCCGCCCAGGAACAGAAACACCACTGCCCCTTCCGTAAGGCAGCCGGGTCCTATGCTCTGCCCCCTGAGAGCCCACGCCAGCTTGTGGAGATGGAGTCTCCAGCTGGCGGCTAGAAACAAGGCTGATGCTGTGGGAAGCAGCTCTCCAAACAAGGGCGCAGTTCCTCCCTGCTTACTGTAAGGCCTCAAGCGGACATTCAGGGCTCCAGGGGCCCTGGGTAGATGGCACCATTGGTCTGGCAACAGGGAGCTACAGGGGTACTGCTTGATTGCAGCACTGTGACCCGGCTAGTGAAGGTGACTTGTGTAGGAGCTGGCTTTGCTCTGGCTCTCATTCCCAGAACGGAAATAGGAATAAGGTGCTGATGCCCCCAGTGCAAACACTGGTCCTACAGGCGAGATGGCTGCAGCGTCAGGAACCCGTGCAGCCACG